TTATATTTATCTATGCTTCCATCAGCTCTATACTTAATTTTATATACCCATTTACATCCAATAGGTTTTTTTCCTTTGGAAAGTGGCACTACAACCCAAGTTTTATTATCTTCTAAAGCATTCATCTCATCTTTCATGGCCTTAACCCAAATAGCATTCTTCACGGCATCATCATAGGTAGTAGGTTCAATATTAGAATCAATGGCACATAAAAAATAAAGATGAGAAGCAGAAACATGCTTGTAAGACATATATTTCTCAATGGGGGGTATAATTTTCTACCGGATTGATTCTGTCCTGTAGTATTATCTCCTGTCAACACACTACAAACATAATCCTTGGCCCAAATAGGTGGCCTTCTTTCTCTAACAATCCTAAGTTGACCCTGCTCAATTATGTCCTGGTTAATAGTATCACCTTCAAAGGCATCAGGATCAATTGACTATTCCTCAAACACACCACTTCTTGTTATATGTTCCTCATTTATCTCAGGTTCAAACAGAAACAGATCTGTACACTTAAACACTCCCCCTGGATCAGTGCCTATAGCTTCATGAAAAGAAAATTTATCTTCTATGAACTTAACATGTCTACTTGTAAAAAGCCATTTGTTGAAAATGTCAAGCAAGACAAAGCCCTTTTGATTGTTAGGGTAACCAAGGAAAACACAAGGCACTGACCTAGGCTTGAGTTTATCAGTGACAGTTAAATCAGAAGCATAAGCTAAACAACCGAAAGTTCTAATGAGATCATAATCAGGGAGCTTGTGATAAACTATTTCATAAGGAGTTTTATAAGACAATATCTTGGAAGGAATTCTATTAACCAAGTAAGTGGCCATTCTTACACATTCTCCCCAATATTTGATCGGCATATTAGATTGTATCATTAAGCTCCTAGAAATTTGCATTAGAGTTCTGTGCTTTCGTTCTACTATACCATTTTGTTCTGGAGTTTAGGCACAAGATTTTTCATGTATAATTCCTCTATTTTTGAGAAATTGCTGCAAATCATGCTGTGAAAATTCTAAACCATTGTCTGTACGAATCCTTTTAACATGAACAGAGAACTGGTTCAAAACATATGCTATAAATTCTTGAACATGCAACACAGCCTCAGATTTATATCTCATCAGAAAAATCCAGGTACTTCTAGAAAAATCATCAACAACAGTCAAGAAATATTGATACCTATTATGTGTTGGGGTTCGATAAGGCCCCCATATGTCTAAGTAAAGCAATTCAAAGCAAGCAAGAGTTTTAATGCGACTAGAAGAAAAGGGTAACTTTGTTTGCTTGGATGGTATGCAAACTTCACAAACTTTATTGCTATTGATTTGTTTATCAGAAACAATATTCAAATGCCTTAGAACAGATACAGGGGCATGACCAAGTCTTTTATGCAACAAGGAAACATCAATGTTCTTAAGATTCTTTCCTACATCATCAACAAAACTAACAAATTCCTGATTCGTAGTCTACAATATGTAAAGTCCATCTACTAATCTACCAGTCGCCCTCAATTTGCCAACCTGAAGGCCCTACATGATACAGATATTAGGAAAGAAGGCTACAACACAGTTATGTTCCTTGGTGAGCCTAGATACAGAAATTAGATTGAATTTTAACCTAGAAGCATACAACACATTAGTCAATTTAATCCCGTTTGAAAAAGTTACTGATCCCACATGAGTTACAAAAACCCTATCACCATTAGGTAGTTTGACTATTTTAATGAATCCAATGCATATCTCATAACCATCTAACAAAGACAGATCGCTTACTAAATGGGTGGTGGCACCCTAATCTACTACCCAGTTAGTGTGTGGATGTGTATAAGAGGGGGAATTAGCCAAACCTGTACCGGTAAGAGCATGAATGGTTTCTTTCACATCTTTCTTTAGGAGTTCAAGGAGCTTCTCATACTGGTCTTTGGTGAAGGAAGGTGTGATGGTATTAGCCGTATGGGACTCAATTTCAGACTCTGGGCTTGTCTATTTCGCAGTGCCTTCCTAATTTCCCTTTCCTTTTGAGCCCTTGAGATCCGAAGGATATCCAATTAGTTGGAAACAGTTCTCTCTCGTATGGCCCTTCTTGTGACAGTGGCCACACTCCGAAGGGGGACCTCTTCCCCTCCCCCTGCCTCGGCCTCTTCCTCTAGCCGCCATGGCAATTCCTTCTACTGGGGAATTTCTGGATGACTGCACTATACTCCTTTGTGGTTCATCTTTAGCAACCATAGCAAATGCTTGATTGATTGTGAGTAAGGGACTCATCAAAAGAATCTGACTTCTGGCTCCCACGTACGAATCATTCAGCCCCATAAGGAATTGAAGCAATTTTTATTGCTGATTGATATCACTCTGTTTTTATGAAGACCCACACTTGCAACAAGTACAGGACGGTGCCGCCATCAACGCTGATTGCTCTTCCTATAGTTCTTTTAATTTGGAGTAATAAACTGAGACTGACATACCTCCTTGATGTAGTGAATTGATTTCGCGGTAGATGGAGAAGATTCTTGATCCGGTAATCTTATCATACCGTTCTTTAAGGTTAGTCCAAACAAGATGAGCACTGTGGTAAAAAACGACTCCATTGGCAAGCTCCCTAGAGAGTGAATTCAAGATCCATGAGAGCACTACCGCATTACATCGCTCCCATTAATCCTGAAATTCTAGTTCTTGCGATTCTTTGAGACAGGTGCCGTCGATAAATCCCAATTTTTGCTTCCCTCTGAGCGCGATTTGCATAGCCTAGCTCCAGACATTGTAATTCTCACTGCCGGTGAGTATTTGAGGGATAATAGCTGCACCCTATGTATCTGACGGATGAAGATACAGTGGGTGGGTGAAGCTCAAATTGGCAGCTGGCGATTCACTCGGCTTACTTTCCGTCATGTCCTCTACAACGAGACAAAAGGGAATGGTTTCTGAAATTTTGCAGAGCGTTCAACTCTGCCAATATGGTCGAACCACTCGTATGCCTTAGACCCTGAAACTCCTTCTAGAGCTAATGTTCTTGGGTTGGAGAACCTTGCTCATGATACCATGTTAAACAAAGCCCAGGAAAATTGAGAGAACAAAACATCTGTTTTATTCATCTAAAAACTCTTACACATTCCAAAAACTTTACAAGCCACACGGTCTACCTATATAGACCCTATAATAGATACAGAAAATGGGCTTTGAGAATAAGCCCAATAACAATAACTTAAGCCCAATACAAAACAAAAGGGAATTCTAACAGGACACAATTTGATTTACTATTTATTCTTAGTATGTTCTGGCTAGTTAGAGGAAAAAAATACCTTTAATAAGAGCAGAAATTTAGATGGTAAGATTGAGATTGCTTATCCATTAAGGCCCAAAGGAAGCATGCTAGTAAAATTAGGCCCAACCCATTTTCTTTAGGCCATCAAGCCAGAAACGATACATTGTCCTTTTTTGAGGGAAAAGAAACTGTATTGGTCTTTAAGCTAACTAGAGTCTACATCATGATCAAACAGAACACACAACCAGATTACAGGGCAAAGAAATATACGAGCTGGCTATAAGCTATAATAGCCATATATATATATATATATATATATTACCTTCGGTTCTTAAGACAACTATATAACTAATTTATAAATATTAAGAAAATTACTTATATTAGTTATTTATAATAAATTAGTATTATTTTTCTTAAAATATTCTTATTAATCGTGTGTATTATAATAAAAATCTTTTAATATGTGTAATTACTATGGGGGCTACTCTGAAAAAAATGAATAAATATGAGAAACAAGATTTATATAATATTATAATATAATTTTATAAGATATTAAATTTCAACTATTCAGTTTTTAATCCAAAGGTAAAGATGAGATGAGACGAGGAGAAGAACAGAAAGAAAAAGGATGTAAGAGAGATCAAAATCCTAGCGTGCGGACTTCAAATGCCGTAATAAACACACATTGTGTGTAGAACATATGACATGTAAAGCAAAAGGAGAAAGTTTCATTTTTATTGCAAATTGGGGGTGGGGGTGGGGGTGGGGGTGGGGGGGGGGAGAATAATATCTATTGCTGCAAAAGAATAATAATTTAGTTTTCTCTATTGTTTCTAATCAATAAAAGAATGTGCGTTATGTGATAAGCAACTGTGCGGCTGTGCCAGCATTTTATAGACTTCCTCAAGTCCTAAATATAAGAGCTAATTCAATATTCAATATGGTCCTAAATAAAATATCCTAATTTACTTTGTTTTTCGTATTTATTTATTTTTTCAAAATAGTCATCATAGTTATTACAAATGTTAAAAGAGTTTTATTCTAATACATATGATTAACAAGGTTATTTTAGGAAAGACAATAATTATTTATTATAAATAACTAACTTAACTAATTTTTTATATTTACAAATTAGTTATTCAGCTCTTATATTAAAGACCAAAAGGCATTATATATACATGCGTGTTGGGGGGGGTTGCTTGAACCTGAACTCTCAAACATCTTAATAAAGGCAAAGCATAGAAAGGAAGAAGAAATTCCAGATAGCCTCATTAACGATGAGCAATAGTAGTTTTTAAAATATTAAAGAGTCACAGTTGCTATGACTTGTGACGAGATATCAGCAAAAAATGCCATACTTCAAATTATTTTAAAAGCTTACATAAATATACCAAAATAATTTAAAAGTGATTTTTTTTAATAAAATTTTAAAAGTGATATTATGATGCCTCATCTTCATCTTGGGAGGAAAAGGTCAATCTAGTTTGATAAGAAATTAAAGTGAAACAGAGAAAAGCACTAAAAAAGGGATAACTTATGCAGGTGGGCTTAGTTAACCTATCACACAAATTATTCTGCACCAATTAAGAGGCAAAGCAAAGGCACCCTCGTTCCAATTCTCTTCACAAAATTCACACGACAATAATGTATTACTTCTATATAATGACAGATTCACACCAACCGTTCCTATTATGTTCTTCATTTCTTCATCATCAAAGATCAGAAGCCGTTACTAACATCTCACCATCATGGAAACAAATAAGGCTTCAGAAGCTCCCAGCAAGCGAGTCTATGAGTTTTTTGAACCTTACTGCAAATGGAAGACATCAGATGAAGGAACTGAGATTCTTGAGATTGAACTTAAAGGTATTTTATTTGCAACAAAACTTAGATCAAATTGCCTATGTGTAAATTTACTTATGAACTTGATCCAATAGATATAAATAACTTAATCTAAAGTTCTGTATATATATATATATATGTATGTATGTATGTATGTATTTCTGTCCGCAAATCTGGTATGGGACTTAATGAATTGAAATTGCAGGATTCAAGAGGGAGCAGCTTAAAGTTCAAGCCAACGAAAAGGGGATGTTGATAGTATCGGGAGAAAGGCCTGTGAGTGCGACTAAGTGGATTCGTTTCCGCAAAGAAACCACACTTCCCAAAGACTGCAATTACAAAGACATAAGAGCTAAGTTATCCAAAGGCTTTCTTTCCATTTTAATGCCCACAAAGCTTCCTACTCATCAGCTTCTTCCACCTCCTCCGGAAAATGACGATGACTCAGAAGAAGCACAGAAGAAGAAGTATAGTATTTGGGGAGTGAAGATTGATAAGGGAAGGTTTTTTAAAGTCGCGGTGGTTGTCACGGCGGTGGTTTTGGTCGTCGCCATTGCACGACTGGCTGAGGTTTATAGACGTCCACATGATGCTGCAAAGGATCACGTCCCTGTATAGATGTAATGAACGTCTCATTTTAATATTTCAATTATTTTATTACAAAAATAATAATGAAGAAGTTAAAGTTCTTGATATAAGATGATGCACACCAACCAGTATTTCTTCTTTCTCCGTGTTTCTTCCATTGATGTATATATTCCCTTTAAAACAAGCTAGAATTCTTTCACCAAAAAAACATAAAAGCTAGAATAATATATATTTAGGGTAGAGGGTAACTCTTTTAAAGTTGTTTTATGTATTCATATATACTTGAACTTCATACTTAAACCGTCAAAGTCCCTTTTCTGCAACCAATTATACCTGTTGGTTAAATTATGCATTTCTTTAGCTCCATGTACAATTTGGAAAAATTAAAAAAATGCAGATATGTCAAAACTACATTTGGGGGAGGGGGGACATTTGATTTTGCTATAGTGATACATTAAAGTCATAAAATCAACGACTGCAATTTTCTGAAGGATTACAGTCAGCTCATATCAACTTCAGCATGCATATTATATAGTAAACTAAAAGTGATTTTATAATATATCAAGTAAATATATGAAAAAAATTTTTATCCTAAACAGCCAGAAAACGACGTCGTTGAAGAATTGACGAATGCAACGGGCCAACACTGTGGATCGGACTAAAAACGAACCCCGATAATTAATGGACCCAAACCCGATAATAACTCCTTCGTACTTCATTGTCTTTCCTTCTTCTTTAGTCTTCACATTTGTTAGAGGTTGGTTGCTTCTTACTCGAGCGCTCAAGTGATTGATTCCTTTTAAATTCTAAGATGTTTATTTAGAAGAGGAGAGGACATGTAGCCAATTTTCTTTTTCAAAGAAACTTCCATACAATCATTTCAATGACACGTACAATCTAACGTGATTAAACCTTTAGATTTTGGTTAAAGAATGCTAAACATTTGTTAAGAATCTTAAACACTCGCCGCTACCCCTAGCTCTAAGTATAAAAACTAGTATATATGTGGTATAAATTACACTATAAGTTAATTCTTATATTTAAAACTGGAAGTTGTAGTAATTTGTGAAAAGTAGTGGCAGAAACGTAGCAAAGGGAGGACAATACAGGCGATAGAGATGGGGACAATCTAACAGAAAATGGGGATTATATTTTCAAGTAAGACTGTCACCTAGTCCAGTGTAATACTACATCCAAACCATTTATATAAGAGTTAGTTGGATAGCTAGATTTGAATTCAAATATACTACCTCAAGTCGTAAATATAAAATCTAGTTTGTAACGTAATTTGTATTATAAACTAGGTCTTATATTTAGAACCAGATATGGTAATATTTTAATCCATATTTTCTTTTTAATTTATAATTTTTTTTTCAAAATATTCCTATTGATTGTAAATGGTTCCTGCTAAAAAATAGTATCAATATACATGATTAAATATGGTAGTTCAGAGAGTCAATACATGTTTATTTTAAATACCTAATTTAACTCATTTTTTTAATATCCCCAAGTACAAGAAGTGATAATATGAATGTGAAGAAGAGAGAGGAAGAAGCGACACAAGATGGAATTACCGAATGTGAAAACAAATGGGAGGGGGATAACTTGAGCAAAGGCAATTCAATAATTCCTTCATGCCTCCACAAACCGAGAAGGAATTATTCTCTTCCAAATTGGCAAGCAAACCCATGAGAGATAGAGAGGCATGAAACTTCATCATGAACTCACATCACTGTATTTTCATTAAAAAGCAAATCCCAAAAAAGGAGATCCACAACAAGCATAGCTCCTTTTCTTTAACTACTCCAATCAACCAAATAAAATTACAAAACACAGAGAAGCTCCATATAACACACTATTTATTATATATGCAATATATCCAAACCATCATGGCTCTTGAACTTCGCCATAATCGCTTCTACGAGGTTTTTGAACCTCAATGCAAATGGAACAAATTTGAAACCCTTGATATCGATCTCAAAGGTATTCTTTCTCTTCCCATATTCTTGTTTTACTCTTCATTTTTTTTTTTTTTGAGATCAAATTAAAATCAAAATTTTGCAGGTTTCAAAACTGAACACGTAAAGGTTCAAATCAACCAGAGCAAAGGGATGCTGGTAATCCATGGAGAACGACCATTAGGTGGCACGACTACTAAATGGACCCGTTTTCGCAAAACCATCAAACTTTCTGAAGACTCAAATCTGAATGAGATCCGAGCCAAGTTTTCCGATGGGGTTCTTTCCATTCAGGTGCCAAAACAGGTGAAAGAACCAGGAAACGACGTCGTCGTCGGCAGAGAAGGTAGCCATTGGAGGGATTCTGCGGGTTGGGGAATAGTGAAGACCAGTAGTTGGGGGACCATGAAAGTTGCAGTGATGGCTTTGGCGGTGGTTACGGTGGGGATTACGATAGGAGCTAAATCAGCAGCGCCGCCGCCCCGACCAGTGCTCCCCAATAAGGAAGATGTCGTTGTGGATCGGGCTGTAAAGGAACCAGATAATCAATCCAAACCCGGCTTTAATTTTCTATTCAAATAGGCTGTGTTAAATTCGAACTCAGAGTTTTGATTAATTCCAAAACTGTAAATAGAATTCATGCTTATATTTGTATATATGGTGAAATTCGCATTATTGTTGCTAGTACATGAGTCTACGATTATAAAAACATATACTACATATAGCATGTTGAGTTTTTTTTTTTTGGTACTTTCATAATATCTCATAAATATGTATGAATATAGTATATAAATAAAAAATATTACTCTGACAGATGCATCAGAACATGCATCGCAGATTGCATACGGTGATTATAGAGGTAATTGTAGATTATCTACTAAAGTCCTGATATGGGGACAAGAAAATATACATACTTCGACGATCAAGCAATAAATAAATAATGGATCCATTTAGAATAGTTTATAAATAGTTTTTTAATCATGATTTATGGAATACGAAATAAAATATGAGAGCTTTTCTTCACTCCTCGTCTATGTAAGTGCGTTTGAGTTTTCCCGCACCTCTCTCTTAGGTGCAGGCCAAAAGGAGGTTGTCTGATTAGGGGCTTCTCAATTTTATAGGTTTGGGTTATCTTTTCTTCTTTCTTGGCATTTGTCATCTGGATTTGTGCAGTGGCATTTTGGGAAGAAGGTTCAGATTTGAGGTTCATTATCTCTTCATGAAGGCCCTAATTTGGTAGGTTTTTCAGATCTATCTATTCTAATCTGGTTTGGTTGTTAATGGAAGATTGGTTCTTTGCTCGGATTTAGTGGCTCTAGGTCAGGGAAGCTTTGGCAGTAGCGGTTGGAGTCTCATTAGAGAAAGACAGTGTCATTGTTGCTAGTAGTGGTTTTTCTGATGTGATGGCAATTGCGTGGTGGTGAATCTGCTCTCAAGATAGCATATGGTTTGTTAAAAGGGATGGGATTGTTAGGATGGTTCTTTGAACCCCCATCCCTTATTCTAGACATAGTTTTCGATGGTTCTCCTTTTTTCTAGAGTTTTCGATGGTTCTCCTTTTTGTCTAGCAGCGACAATGGCAGCAATGTGGGGGTCTGTTTGGCTTTGACCTAGGATTTGTGTTAGGGGTGTCTTTTGGGCTAGCTGGTAAAGCGGACTGGCAGTGCATATACGGGCCAGCCCGTGACAATGCGGATTGAAAGTGGTGTAGGCTAAAGTACAGGCTCGCATTTTGCCAACCTGAGCCTGCCAACCCATCTAATTTTTTTTTGTTGTTGTAAAAAGCTATTATTATTTGTATGGGTTGGGCTTAGTTTAAAATATTGAAATTAGACTTAGAGTCTTGAACTTGAGTAGTGGCTTGTGATAAAATAATGTGAGGATTAATTTATAATTTAAAAAGATATTTTAGAAAAACTAACACATATTTTTTTATAAATAATTAATTTAACCAGTTTTTTTATCCAACTTAATTAAGTAGATATTTTATATGTGTGTGTATATATAAGCATTACCTGTTTATTTAGTCTTATAAAGGTGTGTATAGTAACAAAAAATAGATGAAAAATAAAAGATGGACAATACTCTTTATATAACTACACACACATACAAAGTGCTTAATTACATATGTAATGATATGAATGAGACAATGTCCACATGGAATTTGAGGGTCAAAATTTTCCAACTATATTATATAATATATCGGGAATTTCATGAAAAAGTTTTTTTTTTTAAAAAAAAAAGTAGGCTAGCCTGTGGCAGAGCAAGCCAAAAGCGATGCAAGTTGAAGTGACACACACCTTGGTTGGCTAATATTTTGCCAGCCATTTCTGAGTCTACTTAGGGTATTGTTTGGGCTTTGGCCTTTTTGGTATTTTGATTCTTGAACTTTGCATTTATTTAATAAAATATACATATTTTCATAAACAAAAAAAAGAGTAGTTATTTTCTTGCTCTAATAGCAGTTTTAATCGCTACAATTTTGTGGCTACAATTTCACAAATCATGACTAAAACGACTATAGTTAAGTAGCAAGGTAGGAGAAAAGGGTAAAAGTGAAGTTGGTGCACATGGAATTGAAATCTTTAGTGTATAGGCTGGATTTCAATTGTATCAAATTTGATGGAAATGGAATTGGAAGATTTTCCAATTCCATCATACCAAACAAACTTCTTCATGAAAATGAATTCCATTTCTATTTCCATATCCCTCACAAGTATTAGTTTGGACGTTTGTTCCGGCCATTGGAATTGTTGTCACAAGGGAGGCAAATTCCGCACCAGCACTATCATTCTCTTCCAAACAATGATCTTTAACAAATTATTACTGACCATACATGAAATGTAAGGTATCCTTTATGGTTATCAATCTAACACTCCACTCCTAGCCATAAAGATCTTTTAGAGTCACATTATCTGGCAATTTCTTTCTCAAGCTATCTGCAAAACTTTTAGGTAGTGCTTGCAGTTTTTATTTAGTGAAATTTAATTTAATTAACATATTTGTCAATAAGGTACAGCATGGTGTAGAGATTTCTGATTGAGGAGAACGAGAGGAAAGGATCTAGTAAACATTTAGAGGTATTAAAGTAAATTTTCAAGATTTGGAAATTCCTAATTAGTCCTCTTTACTTGATTCTCTTCCAAGCATTGAACTTTAACGAATTGTTGCCGGGCATGCGTGAAGTGCAAGGTATTATTTTTGGTTTGTAAATCCAAGACTCCACTCGTCACCACTGAGACCTTTCCTAGTCATATTATCTATCAATTTCTTTTTCAAATCACCTGAAAAACTTTTAAGCAGTTATTGCAATTTTTATTTAATGAAATTTAATTTAACTAACATATTTGAGAATAAGATACAAGATGGTATGGAGATTTCTTATTGAAGAGAAAGGAAAAGAGGCAGTAAACATTTAGGAGTATTAAGGTAAATTTACTACATTTAGAAATTCCTAATTAATATTTTGGACTTGATTAATAATTAGTTAAAAGTGTGAGCCTGTTTAATTAAGGTTTTCTCACTACAAAATGAAAAGTAATTGTGGTAAACGTGGATCGAACACACAATCTTCATAACTTCAGCCTGATTCTCTCTCGACTAAGCTTAAATTTAATTGACATTTTCCCACTCAAAAATAAAAAGTAATTGCAGTGAACGTGGATCAGACACATGATTTTCATTCCGACGCTCTCCCAACTGAGCTATCACCACAAGTTGATGAATATGGTATATTATTTACTCAAAAATAAAAAAGTAAATTTCCAAGATTTAGGAATCCTTGAGTAGTCCTCGTGGCAAGCTTAGTTGCTGATTAGCTTGCTAAGGCTACTCTCAAAAGGAAATGTCCTTCATATTGGGTGCTTCACCCACCACCTTAGCTTTCGAATTTACTAAATTGCGATGTTTTTGAAGATAATATATCTATCTTTGGTTCAACTTATTTTGTTTTATTCTTTCATTTGATGATATGAATTTATCTAAGACGGCGCATGATTTATGAATGATAGTTATTTTTCTAAGAAAGAAATAGAATACAAGAATGAGAAGTTTTTAAGAAGATTAGATGAAGCGTTAAACGATTTTTGATATATCTGAAATAGCAAAAAATGCAAACAAGAAATTTATGGTGGTCCTCTAAACCATGCATATTTTGGTAATTAAATAAAACGCTCCACGCCTAGCAGCCTGCGGGGATAGCTCAGTTGGGAGAGCGTCAGACTGAAGATCTGAAGGTCGCGTGTTCGATCCACGCTCACCGCACGTCTTGAACTTTTTGTCGAACCCCACCCCTTTTACTGATCCCTTTGACTCTGTTTTTCCAATATCCCATTTTCGAACTTTGATGCCCCACTATGCAACAAGCATCTTATGATTCAACAACTGTGGTTGTTTGTTGCTGGAATATTGGCTCCAATGAAAGCATGAGACTTCAATGAATGGCGGAGATGAGCCTCTCTATAGTGAACCCGTCAATGATAATTAGTACTGGTCTTTTGCACTAAACAATTATCATAGCTTGGTAGTCCATAACTCCGGTATCATTTCTGCCGCTAAGCAACGGGCTTGTAGATTTTCACTGATACGTATGAGCCTGTACTACTGCTCCAATGATGATCTATTATGAAACTTTCCAATTATATTGTTCCAATTTCTGAAACTTCTTCCTGATGTGTGTGGAGCTGAAGGGACACCTGAGTAGGTTTTGCCAGGCTTCTTATTGTTTATTTATTCATCTGCATATATTTGAGAACCTCTTTTTCTCTCTGCCCCCTTCTCGGGCAGAAAAGAAGCATACAGATGAAGGGAATCTGTTTAGTTCCTGGCATACTCTTTTTTTTTGTTTTTTGTCCCCCCGTGGATCATCTAGTTTCTAAGATTGGATGTGTATTTGTTACCATAACTCTTGTACTTTAAGTGTATTATTCTTTGAAGAAAAGGATCACTTCCGATTGATGCTAGGGAGGGGCTCAAGTGATATCGTCCATAGTCATCTCCTTGCTTGCTCCCATTGGTGTAATGTGATGTTGAGCTGATATAACATTAATAAATTCAACTAGTGTGTGTGGTCAAATCTGGTGCTTTATTGGATCTTGGGGTTGTTCCTATGCCCCTCCTTAGGAAACTTCCTCCTCTTGTCCTCTGCGCTGTCCAATCCATAACAAGCGGGACCTTATTGGACACTGCAAAGTATGGGTGTTTCTCTGTCTGCACTAAGTCTTCTATGTCATCTCTGAGGCCTCTGCAATATTCTATGCCATGATAATGTCAGAATCTGCGTTGCTGATGACTTTTCCCCTCACGTTCTAATTGGTGGGACTTCCTCCGAAATCTTCCCTTCTCTACATTCATCAATAATTCCACAAGGGAGACTGTTAAATAAGTATAGTAGCTTATGTTGAACTGACTGCCAAAGTCATTGTTATTTCTCTCTTGGTCAATAATAGGCGTCCTTTCTTCTTCTTCCTTGATGCAATTTTCTGCTTAATTGTGTTGCCTTGTAAGTTTAGAATTGATTTCAAGTTTCTTCTTCGCTGGGTTGAGTTTCAATTTTTTTGACTATAATTTTGAAGTCATGGGACTGATGATTGTTCCCTTGTCCAGTTTTCTAACGATGCATAATCTTTCATTGAAATGTTTTATGTAACTTGTTGGCAACACCTGCAAAATTAATAAAAATATGGTTTGGGTCATGTCCAAGAATATTATCTTTAAGAATTATTCTGCCAGACAGATTATAATAAAAGACAATACTCCCTAAGATTAAACGAACCCCTCCCACATAGAGTAAGGTAACAAAATAACAAAAATTTAAAACTTAAGAAAAGAGAGAGAAGAGGAGAGCTCAGGGATAGAACTCGACACACTCTGACCATGCGTCATGTATTGCACTTTTATAGGCAAATAATGTGTGACTCTTGGGCTACCATAATGGTGATTAAAAATGGTTTTAATGATAATTAAAAGGACAGTTTTTAAACAATTAATTAAGATGAATTAAAACATTTTAACGCCATTGAATGTGGTTAAAGAATAAAACTGACTAATTAAGACACATAAATGTTTTAACAGTCATCTCTAATGATCATTTTTAAAGACTTCTCTTCTCAATTATTTTATTAGCTCAAGCTCACATCTTAGTTAACACTGAGGTTTTCTCAATTTTAAGTAATATGTGATTTTTTTTTACATACTCATACACTGAAACTCCAACAGTACTATCTTGAGTTCCATCTTCTCTTTTGATTTTGATGCAGCCCTTGGAGAGAAAATTCTTCCAGGGACTGAATGCTTTTTGTGAACCGAGCATCAGGTGAGCCTTGGGGAGGCCATTGAGTCATATCCTTGCCCCATCTTTCAGGATGTAACGTGCACTTCTACTTAATAGAGATAGTTGGGATAGGCCCGTTATTCATAGATTGAAGTTTTGGAGATAATGAACAACATACCTTTCTATTTATTCTTCTCAAAGGCTTTGCCTCTTCTAGATTTCATTTGTATAACCAAGGAGTTCTTGAACACTATGAAGCTTGCATCTTTGACTTGGGGGATGTGTTTGCTCTTTTATCTCAGCATGTCTTCCAGAGCCTCTTGTTCCTCTTTTTGGGCTCACTGTCACAGTTGTTATTATTACTACGTCCTCTGATCTTTAATGTAAAACTCACTTGACTAATTTGAAGAGATTAAAAAAACTAAAAAAAATTACTTTAAAGTATTTATATTTATTATTTTTTCTTCAAACTAATTTGTCTAATTTATAAATTGATATAGTACTCCAATATATTTTAGTGATACATATAAATATTTGAGAAAAATAAAGTAACATATGATATAATTAAGTAATTTTTTAACCTTTTTAATCTCCTCAAATTAGTCAATTATGTATTATATTAAAAACCGGAGTTAGTATCTCTTTTTAGCGTATTCTGCTTCTGTCAAGATGATACTATGAGATAAACAATGCACGTAATTCAATGATAAAATTTAATTTTTTTTTGGGAAAAAAATAAAATTACCAAAGAAAGATTACTTTTAGATATCAAAATCCACTTCATTTTAAATGTGTAATACCTTATCAGGAAAAAAATTTATATCATTTTGTGAAAATTAGACTCTGACTTTCTGGAAGACCCGAATAAGAGAACGACCCAAGAAATTGACTCGTTAATCAATAAACTTCATTCATAAATAATTCCACTGAAAAAAAAAAGGTCATCTTATTGACGAATTTTCAATCAATAGTGGCTGCGGAACGTACATGAAGCTTATTTGTGATACAAACATTTGATTCCTTAACCCTAAGATTATATATAGGCTACCCACCATGCATGCAAACGAATATTATAATCTTACATAGTTGAGAATATGGGACTAGCCCAGAACCATAAATGAAGCAACCATCCATGGAAAGCAACAAATTGTTATTTTCTTGGGGAGGAAGAATACCTCTTATAGATAACTCTATATAAGTGAATAGACGCCACAATCCACTTTACGTGTAGGAGTCAGATCAATATTCCAAATCCAAGAGCATAATGGGAAAGTTCCCAGAAGGATGTGCCAACTGCTCATCATGTGATGTTTTTGAACCATCGTGCGAAAGGACTGAAGGAAAGACGAAGTTGTTTTTTAAAATTGATGTTAAAGGTTTGTAATATCCTCCCTTTTATCGATTTGGATTCTCTCCTGATGCGAATATACTCCTCTAGTCCTAAATGTAAGACCCTTATACATTTAGGACCGGAGGAGTATCAAGTATTTTAATTTTGCATGATATTTAAAAGTTTTTTTTCCTTTACTTGGATCACTATTTTTCTTCTCCGTTTATATATGGATTATATAACATTTCAGTCTTGGTGTGCATGCATGTGTATTATAAAGGTTACAGTAAGTCACAGCTACATGTTAAAACCGAGAAGGGGAGATTGATAATATGGGGAGAACGACGCGCGGGGGAAATTAGCCTTCGGAACGATTCCACTGAAATGGCAATGGAAGAAAAAGGAAATTCGCCCCTTTCTTGTTTGGTTGTGACCGTTTCACGGCGCCAAGCTTACCATCACAATAAAGAAAGGCACACTTTTGGTCTGACGTGAAGAATATATATAGCTTTTGCACTCTGAATCCACGTTGAAGAAATACTATTCCACAGTGAAAGCGCGTCATGATTTGGCTTACCGAGTCGCGGGTCCCTGGTCCTCTGTTACTTATTCAGATTGCTGTGATGATCAAGTGCACATGTGGAAGCCGCACAAAGGCACAAATAAATAAATAAATCAATCAAAATTAACATGATAATTAACTTTGTCGTATTCATTTATTGTTATATGACTGTTTGATTAGGTTAAAATTTAAACATTGTTGTGTTTAATTGAGAGGCAGTTATCTCGACATGGACTCCAACTAAAATCCGGGTACTTACATGGCCAAAGCGTCCAACAGGGTATAGATTTCAAAAAATAATATAGATCAAAAATATATATTATTTTTTAAATTGTTTAGATCCTATGTAATACTTCGTTCTTTGAGAAATATTACTTGACCTTTTTAATATTTGATACTATTTCTGGTCTTTAATATAGACTTGATTAACTAATTTGAGAGATTAAAAAAACTAAATAAATTACTTAATTATAGCATATGTTAATAACCTTCTAAAATATTTATATGTATAATAGATTATTATATATAGTTTATAAGTTTAGCAAATTAGTTGGGAGGAGGATGATAAATATAATACTTTAAACTAACTTATTTAGTTTCTTTAATCTTTCCAAATTAATCAATTGGGTTTAATATATAAATATATGTTATTTTTAAAAGAAGAGGTTTGCATCATGCCTTATGATTAGAATTGATATAACTCTTGTATTAAAAAAAAAAGAGAAAAAGATAATTAAAATACCCTCAAACAGACCCCAGGTACTATTTTGAAATACTATTTTTTAAAATATTGTCATCTCAGCACTTCCGACTGCCAGAGCTCCGACGCCGGCGACCCTTTCTGTGGCCAGCCACCGGAGCTCCTACACATGTCACCGGAACTCCGGTGACCAGTTATCGGAGCTCCAATAACTACTCTTTCTTATGTAAAAATATTTATATGTATAATTAGATTATATATTAGTTTATAAGTTTAGCAAATTAGTTTGGAGGAGGATGATAAAATAAATACTTTAAACTAACTTATTTAGTTTCTTTAATCTTTCCAATTAATCAATTGGGTTAATATATAAATATATGTTATTTTTAAAAGAAGAGGTTTGCATCATGCCTTATGATTAGAATTGATATAACTCTTGTATAAAAAAAAAAAGAAAAAAGATAATAAAATACCCTCAAACAGACCCCAGGTACTATTTTGAAATTTTTAAATTTTGTAAAATTAAACAAACACCCTTTATTGTTTTTTACTATTTTTTTAAATATTGTCATCTCAGCACTTCCAGCTGCCAGAGCTCCGACGCCGGCGACCCTTTCTGTGGCCAGCCACCGGAACTCCTACACATGTCACCAGAACTCCGGTGATCAGTTATCGAAGCTCCAATAACTACTCTTTCTTATGTATTAACTACTCTTTTTTAGCTATTAACTACGTTTGTTTTTAAAACTCTAATGACTACTTTTGTTTAGCTACTGACTACTCTAATATTGCGATTGACCACTTTCATTTTTAAAATTTTGGTGACTAATCTTATTTAGCTATTGAGTACTATAGTTTCACTATTAACTATTTTTGTTTCAAAAATTCAAAAAATGCCTTAAGTATTGTTAGAGATTTAGTGACTAATTTTTGTTTAGTTATTTACTATTATTGTGTAGTCAATAACTATAAATAAGTAGTCACTAGAACTTTAAAATAAAAGTAGTCAATAATAAATTAAAGTAATCAATAGCTATATAAAAGTTTGTCAAGAGTAAAGACACTATTGTCATTTCACAAGATTTAAAATTTCAAAATAGTATTTGGAGTCTAATTTGGCTAATTTCACAAGATGAATCAACTGAATACTGAGTAGAGGATAATTACAGTTATTAATAGATAAGGAAGCTAAAAACCTGAAAAATTTACTAAAGCAACAGTTTCGGTTGTTGGATCCAATATCAACATAATATTTTTTTAAAATAAAGGTTACAATTCAACCATCCATGGATGGCTGGAAGGTGCAAGGGGTAGGCATGTGGTTTCTTGGAAATCAATCAAATCTAAAGGGAGGCGGAGAATATTATTATTATTATTATTATTATTATTATTATTATTTACCAGCGACGGAGAATACTATTAAGACATTAGAAGAAACCAAAGTTAATAAAATCAATTGCCTCCATACTTTTCTCTCAATATATTCTCTGGTCAATCTGTCTTTGTTAACTATTATAAAAAAAAAAGCACTGCGATCTTATTTTCAAAAGCATTTGAGTATGATAATAAATACATTAACTGATTAGATTACAGTTTTAATGAAGATTAGTGAAGTGTTTGGCTGAAAACCAAATTATGATTTTAAAAGTATTTATTATAATTATGAAATAATTATTTAAAAAGAATTTTATCTTGATTTACATAAAAGTGTTTTTAAAAAGCACTTTCAGAAAAAACCAAATGCTAGGTCGGGCATAAAATGATTTTTTTGGTATAAAAAATCATTCTTAATATACAAGAAATGGATTAGAATCACATTCTGTCCTCTTTTTTTTTGCATTTTCTTTTTATAATCTCATCTTCATGCTCAAATAAAAAAAATAAAAGACAGTTCAAATTTATTTTTTTTGTAAAAGTACAATTATAATATTAAAAAGTTAAGATGTAATTTTGACCATGATCTTACTTCTAAGCTACAATTTTGCCCTTGATCTTTTAATGGTGCAATTTTATCCCTGATCTTATTTTTCAAATGCAATTTTACCTTTCATCTTTTTTTTAGATGCAATATTGTTCCTAATCTTTAGGTGCAAAAGGGTCAAAATTGCACCCCAAAAAAAAAAAGATGAAGATCAAAATGGCACTGCTAAAAAATAAGGGGTAAAATTGCATTCAAAAATAAGACCAAGGTCAAAATTACACATTAATCCAATATTTTATAATAAAACCTTTTTTTTATTTTTTTCTATACTACAGTTATGAATCGTGCAGGTCAAGTTTTAACATTTAAATTTATTTATTTATTATAATAATTTTATAAAATATCCCTCCAGTTCTTAATACAGGACTTTATTGAAGAATTGATTTGGTTCTAAATATAAGACTATTTTACATATTTATCATACTTTTCTTAAATTATCCCTATTGTACAATAATAAGTAGGAGAGAGGGATCAAGCAACAATAATACAATGATATAAACTGCGTCTTAACAACATTATTTTTTTCCATTCTATTTTTCTAAAGAGTGAGTGAGATGCATAGTTTCAACAATACTGTTTTCTTTTAAAACCATGTTATACATGCATAGTTTTGTCATTAGATCTTACATTGATAGTGGCTTACTTGTCTTTATTTGATTTTTTTATCACAAAAAATAGAAAATATTGAAGTTAAAAAAATGAAGGAAGATTATGGAGAGTTGATGTGCCTCCTCCTCATTTATACTGTAAGAATACTAAAGAAAAGGGCGTTGACAACTTGCGGGGATAGCTCAGTTGGGAGAGCGTCAAGAAATTGAAGGTCGCGTGTTCATGCTCACCGCAATATTTCGCTTTTTTGCTTTTTTATCTCCTTTCTGGTCCCTTTGCCGCCTCCGCTTTTCGAAAAACCCTAATGCCAACAAGACATCCCTCCGGCCCTTCGCCTCCTGCGTTTTCCAAAAATCCTAACGCCAAGCGCAACGCATGCATCTTGAAATTGAGACCGCATGCTTTGTACACAATCTCAATCATCACAAAAAAAGATGCCCCTGAAATATCCTATATTATCTCCTTACTCTCTTGGCAGTAAGCATTCGTATCTGTTATCTTTTGACTCTGTTTCTCCACTATCCTATTTGCTAACTCAGATGCCCTAGTGTGCAACAAGCATCTCATGATAACTGTTCCCCCCCCCCCCCCCCCCCAATTTGTTGTTTTGTTGGAATATTTGCGACAATAAAAACATGAGACTACAATGATGGTGGAGATGAGTGTCCGTATAGTGAAGCTGCCTTCGTCTATCTCGACGCGCGCATCTTAAAATTTCAGTTTGCATATTGAAAAGCTATTTTCTGCATTTTTTTTAATATCAAATTTATTGTGCACGCATCGATGATAAGTAGCACTGGTATTTTGTCCCAAACAATTTTCATAGGTTGGTAGTCCACATCATTTCTGCTGCTGAGCTAAAATGTCAGATGCAACGGGTTTGTAGATTTTCATTGATATGCATGAGCCTGGACTACTGCTCCAATGATGATCTGTTAAGAAACTTTCCAATTATATCGTTCCAATTTCTGAAACTTTTCCTGTGTGTGGAGCTGAAGGGACAACTGAGGAGGTTTTGCCAGGCTTCTTATTCTTTATTTTTTCATCTGCATATATTTAAGAATATATTTTTCCCTCTGCCCCTTTCTCGGGCAGAAAAGAAGCATATAGATGAAGGGGACCTGTTTAGTTCATGGCATACTCTCTTTTGTACGTCATCTAGTTTCTAAGATTGGATGTGTATTTGTTACCATGACTCTTGCACTTTGAAAGTATTATTCTTTGTAGAACAGGATCGCTTCCGATTGATGCTAGGAAGGGGTTCAAGTGCTATCATTACTTGCCATCTCCTTGCTTGAGAACTTCCCTGCGTCCATTGGTTTTTTGTGATGTTGAGCTGATATAACATTAACAAATTCAACTAGTGTGGTCAAGTTTGGTGCTTTACTAGATTCTGGGGTTGTTCCTATAGCCCTCCTTGAGCAGCTTCCTCCTCTTATCCTCTGCAGTGTCCACGAAATGTTTCTCTTTTTTATGTCATTTTGAATGAGAAAACAGCTCTGTCTGCATTAAGTCTTGTATGTTATCGTTGAGGCCTCTGCAATATTATATGTCATTGCTGACACCCCAATGATAATGTCAGTATCTGCATTGCTGATGATCTTCCCTTTGATGTTCTAATTGGTGGGACTTCTCCCAAGATCTTTCTTTTTCTACATTCATCAATACTTCACTACCAGGGAGATTGTTAAATAAGTATAGTAGTTGAACCGGGTATTACAGTACTCATAGTTTCTTAAGTTGATTTCCCCTTCTAGCCTATGTTGAACTGACTGCCAAAGTCACTTGTTATTCCTCTCATGGTCAATAGGCTTCTTCTCTTCTTCTTCTTCCTTGATGCAGTTTTTTTCTTAAGTATGTTGCAATACCTTTTTGGTAAGTTTAGAAATGGTTTCAAGTTGCTTCTTCACCAGTGTGAGTTTCAATTTTCTTGTCTTCAATCTTGTAGTCATGGTACTGAAGAGTGTTCCCTCGTGCAGGTTTCTAATGATGTGCAATCTTTCACTGGAATGTTTTGTGCAACTATCCCGAGTTCCATGTTCTCTTTTGATGCAGCCCTTGGAGAGAAAATTCTTCCAGGGACTGGATTATTTTTGTGAACTAAGCTTACCAGTGAGTTTTGGGGAGGTTGTTGAGCCAAATCCATGCCCCATCTTTCAGGTTGCAAGGGGCAACCTGCACTTGTACTTGATAGATGGTTGGGCTTGGTCCATTTGTACAATGAAGTCTTGGAGATGATGGACAAGATCAACCTTTCTATTTGTTCTAGTGTTACAGGTTTGTTCCTCTTCAAAGGGTTTGCCTTATAGATTTCATTTGTACCCAAGGAGTTCTTGAACCCTATGAAGTTGTCATCTTTGACTTAGTTGAATTATGGGATATGTTTGCTCTTTTATCTTAGCATGACTTCCAATGACTCTTACCCCCCTTTTTGGGCTCATTGTCCTTCCTTCACTCGTTTTACATTGCACAGAATCTTATTCTACCTTTTTATTTCTTCTTTAAACTTGATGACCTTGTCTGGCCCAGAGTTTCTAAATTGTTTGACCAAGCTCTTTTTAGTAGCTCTTTGAGCTTCTTGGCTCTATCTTTTCTATCTAAAACAATATATACACTATCTTAGAGCTTGAGGCCAGGATCATCTTTTTTATAAAGGCATGTAGTTCTCAATCAGAGGGTCCTAATGTGTTTTTTTTTTTTTTCCCTTTTCTTCTGCCCTTATTGACTTGGCTCACTTGAGAATGTACCTTCGTGGTCTGAGTAGCAACGTCCCTCTCGACGTATCTTTCCTTGCAATCTTGTACATCTTAATTTCGTCATGATGTTTCCTACTAATGTCCCAAGTGATTCTAGATGACCACCATGATTTTTGGTTGCTGAAACGATATCCAAAAAATCCTGAGGCTGTTAACTGACAGTGTTTCTTACATGTAACCAAGAAACAAAAAATCAGATAGGATACTAAACTGGTTGAAATAGTGGTTAAAAGGTTAGGCAGTCATATTAAAATAAAATAATTTAATTAAAAATAACAAAATGCAACAACATTAATAATCACTAATAACAAAATACAAGATAATATAATAATAGTTGAATTGTAATAACAACAAAGTATAACAACATTAAAAATTTTGATCTTTACAATTTATTAATAACAAAAATTAATAATTATTGATATCAAAATTATCACTAAAATTCATTTAAATATGTAGTGATTGAGATATTAAGAGCTAAATGAGAAAAAATAAGACTAATAGCAACATGATCATTTAAACTGTACTGATTTTTATTGGTTAACACCAATTTGGTCGGTTCGATACTGCTTTAACTTTGAGCGGTTTAACGCCTAAACTGAGCTGGACTATGAGCTAGTTTGGTTGGGTTTTTTGTTCTATGCATGTAACAGTTGATCAGTGTTTCTTATGCTATCTTGGGAGTGGGATGGCTTTGGTTGTTTTAGTAGATTCACTTGACTTTGCATGGTGTTGTGTAGTTTCCAATGTTGTGCTGTTTATTCCCAGTTACTGCATGAAGTAACAATTTAGTGATGATGCCAGTAAGAATGAACTTGTATGTGTGTTATGATGCTTCGATTGTCCTACTTGCCAAGGTGGTTTTTTATTGCCAACACTAACGCTTCTTAATACAAGTCCTTGACCAAAATTTGTTGTAAGCTGATCACTTAGTGAGTTAGTGTAGCCACTTGTATATGATATTATGACTAAGAAAAATAATTAAATCATAATCTCTATACATCTAAATTTATTATTATTAAATTTTTATGGGGGTTAAACATGATGCATGTTGCTTCATGAAATAAAGTGATTAGTTTTGGTATTAAATTTGAGTTGTTAGCTTTCGAAAAGAATGAGCACAGTAAAAATCTAATTATTTAAAACCCATTCAATATTCTAGAAAAAAATTAACACACACACACACACAATATGCTGAAGTATGTTGATGTCAACGGTAAGGCTGTTATAGGGAAGATGTGTAAGAATTGAAAGAATGATATAGGATTATGCATGCTTGATTTAGGAATTAATTTAGGAATTAAATACGTTTAAAGCGATAACAAAAATTGAATTTAAAATTTATATAAAATTTAACTTAAGTTCAATTATTGATTTTTCCCCACAAGGTAAAGGAGATTTATTTCGTATAAGATAAAATAATTTCTATTATTATGAATTTTTTATTATTTTTTCCTCTATTATAATTTAAATCCACTCCTATTTTTTCTTTATTTTTTTTCTTGGTCAAAATTTTTTCTTTATTTATTGGGTTGTTACTTATTACAATTACTATTTTATTAATAATGATAATCAAAATTACCATGAAAGTTTTTCTCCTAATAAACTTGTCAATCGTGATTTATAAAATATGATATAAGTATGTAAGAAAAATTTTGTCTTAATTTATATAAAATATATTTATTATTACTTATAATTGTGTTTTTTTTTTTTTTTATTTTTTTGGTGATTTTTTTTTTTTTTTGCAATTTTTTCTGAATTTACCGACGACAGCTCTTAATTTTCCTTTAATAAATAAGCTAGGCAGCGGAAGCACAGGTGAGAAGCCTTTCTCGTTATTAGTTTCCTAGTTTCAACCCATTAAGGCAGAAACGCCCTATTGAGTAATCACTAATCACGGCCAAACCTTGCCTTCTTTTCAAGTTCGTCGTCGGCGTAATCTTCAGGTACTTCCTTCTCTCTAATAATCTTTCAAAGGTTCTTGGGCTTTGGCGTAAACGCTCCACAGAGTATCTTGGGATAGTTTCTGGACCATTCCCTTGTGTCAGTGCTGGCAGCTGGTAGACTAAATTGGTGTGGTGATAATTTGGGCTCTTGTCAAATTCGTAGATTATTTTCGTTATGGAGAATCTTGGGGTCTATGCTTCGCGGTGTTTGATTTCTGAAACGATTTTTTTTTTCCTTTTCAATGCCTAGGTTGTCTTGCGAACCCGGTAAAATCTGTTTTCTTGTACTTTGACTCTCGACACTGGCGCCTTCCCCTTCTTCCTGCGGACGCCAGCTCCTCATTGTTCCTATATTGGAGCTCAGATCTTTAACTGTGTCAATTACAGACAGGGTGCGATTTCTGAAGATATAATCAAAGGATTTTGGCGGTTAGTTGATTGTAGTATATTGATTGATTATGTTGCGCTAGTTATTTTCTGGCTGTGCATCTCAGTAATCTTGGATTATTTCTTTCGTCTTTGTTGCATGTGCCACTAAATTAGGCTGCTTTTCACTGCAATTACGTTTCCTAGCTTAAGGCTTGAATTGCGATATGAGTCTTATTTTTTCAGAGGCATTATTTTGTGGGATCAAATAGTCAGTTGTCTATATATTATGGTGACAAAAGATAATAATAAAAAAAAGTACCGACTTCTTTAAGGAATGAAGACGGTTAACTCAGAAGCCAAAACATCATTACTACATATTCTATCTTTTCTTTGGACTTTTTTGAAAGTGACTTTACATTGGGACGTGTAGAAGATGACAAGAAGGAAAGAAAGATAAAGAAAATTAAATATGTTAGATGATACTGGAAACCCTATGTGTGTTTGTGAGCGGTTGATGAGATGTTCCATTTTGTATTATCTCTGTAAATTCGTTGGTTCTGTTATTTGAGTATTTTATTTTTTCCATGTTGCAGTTAATTTATAATATTCTGTTATCCTCTTCTATTGGCAAAATAACTACGAGATGGAGGAATGGGGTAATGATTCTACGTCACATTCTATTAATTTTTTTCCCCTAGTTCTCTTCAATTATCTTTTCATTAATGATCTTTTTTTTGAAGTTCAATTGAGAATGTGGAGGAACAGTCCATTTCTGTTAGCATTTTTGTCTTTCTTTGTTCTGTTTTTGGGTGCTCAAGAACTATGTTCAATGCTTTACCTTCTCTTTTAACATATTATCTTTGATTTTGACTCTTTAGAACATAAAAGCGTTAGGATATTGATATTTAGTAACTTTCCACTAGGAAAAGATCAAACTATTATAGGTAGAATTTTTTTACGCTTTATATTTGAAGTATATCCTGTTCTTCTGTTGGTTTTGCTTTCTTGCTAATTTGACAAAGGCCTGCATATTTGTTCTAGAGGATGAGCATATTCCGCCTCTTAATTTGAAAGAGCAACCAAAAAGTAAATGGGATGATGAAGACGTGGATGAAAATGTTGTGAAGGAATCATGGGAGGATGAAGATGAACCTGCTTCGGCATGATCGATCACAAAATATTACTGTCATGGAAGTGGCATAATGGTTTTTTGTTTTTTTTAAATATTTTTATACTTAACTCATATTTCTCTTCTGGCTCATTCGTGTACTTGCTTAGTATCATGATGCCTGTGCTATTGTAATTGTTTTAGCAGTATTTATTTGTTTGCAAATTGTTGAAATGACAATATTTTGAATGTGCTATTTTATACATCATTGCTTTAGCTGTTAATAACCATGGGGCTAAAAAGCAAATAGCTTCCTTGGGCCAGTAGTATCATGATGTTCTTCCTTCATTATTAAAACGATTGGCCTACTTGAACTCTGATAATGCGACAAAGATACCATCCTTTAAGAAGTGGAATAAAACAAAGGTGATTTATAATTGTACGTGAAGCTTGATTAAGTTTGCTTGATATTTTTTTGGGAAATAAAATTTATAAATAATCTTCATGGATTTATGTTCCAAATGGAATCGACTATTTGTACAAATATTGATACTTTGAGTGGGTCAGTTGCATTGATAGTTCTTTCCTTGCTTCGCTCAATCATGTCAGGCACCTCCACCACCTTCAGTAAAACCTACTGAAAAGGCTCCACAAATATCTTCTGAGAAAGTTATTAACAAGAAGGGGAAGAAAGTTGCAATAGAAAAGGAAGAGCCATTGGATCCATTGGCTGAAAAACTTCGTCAACAAAGGTATCGAAGATTCCATCAATTATTTGTACCTTTCTAGTTCTTTTATTCATATTCTGTTTTGGGAACAAATAACATAGATCATTATAGATACTGGTGAGAGGCACTGATGGCAATCTCATTTATATGATAGGCCCATAACTGATGGGCCAAAATGGTTGGGCTGTGAGGGGTGTGTATTTGTGCCTCTCTCTATGAGACAGAGTAAGGGGTCAAGGAATATATTGTGGGTGATGGGGTCGGTGAGAGACAAGCAACTAGTGCGTGATGTGTGGGAGTCTTTGGTCTCAAAAACCGAAGCTGTGTTTTCTGGTTTTTTTTTTCTTGTTAGTGTATTCTTCTTCTGCTTAGATTGTACAGTGGAAAAGTCATTTGTGTCATTCTTACATTTGATTACTTGGTTTCCATCGCTTGGCATCATAGCACGTGATAATTGTGAAAGAAAAGGTCAAAAACTTAGGGAGGTAATATTAATGTCTTAAAATAAAAAGGGAGGTAACAAGACGTTGAAGAAGGAGAATAATTTGGCGAATTCACATTTTAAGCGAAATTATAAGGATGGTAGAATCTCTCAGCATCGAAGTAGCTTGAAAAAGATCCTCTATTTTTGGTAACATTATAAAAGTCACTGCAGGAATAGCTTAAGTTGTTGGAAGGATAAGAGCAATTAGGGTAGGAGTGGGTCATACCATTACCATAGACAGGAGAAGTCATTCAAGGTTGCAAACAGAAGATTAGATAATACTATAGCAACAAGAAGAAGCCTCTGGCATCTTACTATTTAATTTATTGATTATTGATGGCAGGCTGGTTGAAGAGGCAGATTACAAGACAACTAAAGAATTATTTGGCAGTAGAAGTGATGAAAAGAACCTCGATAATTTTATTCCCAAATCTGAGAGTGAGTTTTTAGAATATGCAGAGCTTATCTCACACAAGCTTCGTCCTTTTGAGGTAAACAAGATATTCGTTTACCGGTTAAGTAGTTTTTTAAAGGACATCCTAATTTTATCTATTCATTTGTGTTTGCTAACAAGCCTAATTTTAATTTTTTCCATTGAACGCAGAAAAACGATCATTACATGAATCTATTAAAGAGAGTGATGAGATTATCAATGACTTCTTTAAAAGGATCAGAAGCAAAAGAGATTGCCTCATCTATCACTGCTATTGCAAATGAGAAGATAAAAGCAGAAAAAGAAGCAAATACTGGTAAAAAGAAGACAGGTAAGGCACTTTGGATAGGTTTACTATCTATGACTGCTATATTTATCTTCTCTCTCGGAAAAGGGGAAAAAACAGAAATCTCATGGCTAATGTTAAACTGTGTTAACAGGAGCGAAGAAAAAGCAGCTGCTTCTTGACAAACCTGATGAGGATTTGGTTTCTGATCCATATAGTGCTCTGGATGATTATGATTTTATGTAAATGTGGTTTACCCTAGTCCCAAAAAAAAAAAGAGAGAGAGAGAGAGAGAGAGAAAATTGAGTGCCATAGTTGAATAATAACTCACGGGAGAGCATAAGGTCTTCTATCTATAGCTGTCAGTTTTGTCACTTGCTAGTCTGATGTTCATTACCCTTCATTTTAAATACTCACCATATGATACGAACATAGAAATTTATACAACTCCTTTTTTGAGCACATCCTTTTTTCGCGGATTGTAACAATGAAATCCAGTTTGTCTGCTGTAAAATTTTTTTTTTTTAAAAATAATTGTGGCAGGGAATGATGATAAATTAACAAGCCTCATTGATACGTACAATATTAACACCTTTTGTGCGTGTGACTTTAAGTTCTACCTAAAAAAAGAATTAGTGAATGTTAGAACTTTAGGTCCGGTTTGTATAAAGTAAGTGTTGAAAATAAGAGATGAGAATTGGGATTGAGATTAAAAAAATTTATTAAAACATGTTTAGTATGTGGGATTGTTTATTAGTTGGGATTGAGTTAATTCTTATAAATATGATTGAAAAATATTATCTCCTCTCATGATATTTCTCAATCTTACAGGCATAGGTTTACCTAATTCTAAGTGATAAGTAATTTTTTTTTATATTAATTACTTTCTAAGTGAGTTTTTTTAAAGGAGAATTATAATGAGATTCTTAAAAAAAATTATAAAATAAGTCTTATAAGTTGTTATTTTTTACTCTAAAACTTGTCATTATAGACTATTTAAGTTATTATTGGGATTTTTTAGATTTTATTATAATTTTTTTTCCAAATATAATAAATTTTTACTTTTTATTCCGGATGCTTTTACGTAGAAATTTAGCTTTCATTCACTGCCTCGTGTGGACATGCCAGAAGAAAGAGGGTAAACGGCATGAAATCCAGTGCTGGCGCAAAGAAGCCTGTCGTTAGTCTTAAAAGGTTATATACTAATGATCCAGATCACATCGTTATTGGCACCTGGACTTTTGAGAAATGATGAAGCTTTGCAGCTTTCATCTGATTAAAGGTCCATGTATTATATTAATAATATAATTTAATCTTATCAACCTTTGCTTAAGTGTGTGTGTAAAATGTATAACTTATTCTCGATGCTAAGTAACATTTTTTAAAATATTATAAGATTAATTACCTTTATTTTTAGAGAGAATATTTAGCGTATAGAATTAACTTCATTAAGATAAAATACCCAAACGATTGCAATACGTATTAGTACAAGTATTTGATGCAATTACAGTTTATATATAAGCTTTGGGGAAATTTATTTAACGGAACTTTCTGTGTCAGGTTTGCAAAAAACCAAAGAGACTGATAAAAATGGTTCTAATCAGGCAAACAAAATTAAAACGGCAACGATGGAGTGTAGTCCACTTAATGCCGGATTTGGCCTGCTGAAGGTATGATATATAATTGGAAATTCGGATTGTCAGATTTGTCGTTTCCTTTTGGCTTGTAAAGCTGAAATTTGGAATACTTTTGACAACCAAGTTGAAGTGTAAACGTGAACGATTGAGGAAGCCATGATTTGTGTTTTTGGGAGATATGTGATATGTCCAAATGTTTGTTGGAGGTCCCGCCCATCGCTCATTTAATCCCTTCTCTTTCGCTTCCATTTCCCAACCGTTTCCTCTTCTTCTCCTCCGGTTCTCCTTTCAATTTGTTGAGCGCCTCTCTCTTTCTCTCTCAGAAAACCCTGTTCTTTCTCTTCATTCATATCCTTTTGCTTTCGCCTTCTCCTTCGCTGCGGAGTTCTGTGTTTCTCAGAAGCAGTGAAGGATTGCCAAACATGAACCACAAAGCCACCGTCTCTAAGGAGCTCAATGACAAGTTCACCAAGGTCCCTCTCCCCCCCCCTCTTGAATTTTAAAATTTTCCTTCCATTGTTCTGCCATTGAACAGCTGAACCTGGGTTTGGGTTTTGTTTTCAATCAAATCCATCACGGCATTCTGATGACTTTTGTTTTGAATACTTAGGATTAGATGTCTTGTAGAGAAAGAGATATCTATCCCCAAAGCAGGGCACCATATTCATGAAGCTAATGTCCTGTTAATTAATATCTAGTGCTTTTAGTTTGAATGTGGGAGTTAATATTATGCACTTGCGATGAGTATATATATTATTAATCACGACGTAGCTGCCGTGGAAGAAAATGGGAAATAAACCGGAAAATAAATTTGCTATATCATTATTCTAGTAAGGTTTAGGTTGGTGCTTGAATGGGTTGCTCCTATTTGTTTCATAATATGCAATGTAGTCTGTGATTTTACTTGCTGCCAAGGAGATTTGATTACTAATGTGGCCCCAGTTTTGTGAGATGGGAATATCAATTAAAAATGCGAACTTAATTTAAGGCAGACTTTTAGTGATGCTGCTATTAATTGATTCTAAGGTGTGCCCTGTGGGGGCAGCGAGCATTAAGCATGAACCAATCAAAACTTGAAATAAATTATAGGGACTAAAATAGTAATTTTAACCTTTATTTTAAGGCCAGGGGATTATTAGTTGATAATATTAACATATAGTCTGATTAGAACAGATTTTTTCCCTTCAAGAAACATGATTATCTTTCTCAGTGTTGCTGCTTTAAGTTAGAAATTTGTGGAGTCTCGTCAATTATGTTGCTGGTGAATAGCATTCAAGACATTAGTTAGAATTTGGAATTTTTTGTTAGGCTGGTATTTGTGGTTGATTGGGCATCAACATAACTTCATTTTCATTGTAGGTTTGGTAACTTCCATTTTGAAATATTTTGTTCTCCTTGTTTCTTACCATATGCAGATCTTAGAGGGCCTCCTTAAGCTGCCTGAAAACAAGAAATGTGCTGACTGCCGAAACAAGTATGACAATCCAAACTCATTTTTTGTTAAGGAAATCATTTGTGTTCATATTCACAACATTTCTAATGCACTAGATCATTTCCAGTTATTTTTCTTTTATATATCTAAACTCTTACTATTGATAGAGTACAACAATGTTGTGCAATTCATGTAGCCAATCCCACCTAGTGGGATAAAACTTGTTATTATTGTTGTATATCTAAATTCTTACGTTTCATCCTCATGGACATTTTTTCGTCCCACCATATGTACGCTTTTTGCTCTTTTTGAACTAGACCTTCTGGTTCCATTACTCATATTTGAGTGTAGGTAATAAATGTGTGTTTATTGCAGATCTGGCTACTTCGTAGTCGTTCTAATCAGATTTTTGGCTCTACCACAGTTTATTTACTTTCAGATGTTCCCATCTGTTGTTATCTTTAAAGAGCTAATATCATGAGAAAATTTACTATAGCAATTGCTGTTTCAATATGGATGATTAACTTAGGATCCAAAAGATAGTACAATATGAGGAGATGTGCCTTGTGAAGCAAATGAACAAGCACATTTCTTGCTGGAATGGTACCCAATAGAATTTTGTACCAAATAAAACCATAAATGATTTTAAATTTTCGTTTAAAGTCAGGTCCATCCAAAATGTTGGTCTTTAGCTTGTGCCAATAGATGCAGGATGATGAGTTCACTTGTCCCTTTTTTTGTGCATAATCACTTTTTTTTAATCATTTAACCATATTAGTGGGCTTCTTTACTTGTGAAGCTCAGTTTTTATTTTATATACAGGTGAATAGAACATAGTGAAGTTTATTCATGGTTTATGGAACATGTATCTTCATTTTCAGGGCACCACGATGGGCAAGTGTGAATCTGGGAATTTTCATATGCATGCAATGTTCAGGAATTCACCGAAGTCTTGGAGTGCATATATCAAAGGTTTTATCACTTTCGGTTAACTTGCCATGTTATCTTTAAATTTAATTGTCTGTTTTCCTTAGTCGGCTTGTTGCCAAAGTTCAGACTTACAAGACACTTCAGAATCTACCTTTGGCATTTACTGGTTTCTTAGAGTTATATTTATAATAATCCATGCTGCTGCCAGCACTTCAAAAGAAGAAAGAAAAGTATGTGTTTTGAAAATTTATTTATTGCCATTTCCCATGATTCTTCTCATGCATGTTTCCTTTTCTGTCTGCATGCACATTGATTATGACTGAGCCTTCTGATTTTACGACTAGGTACGGTCTACAACTTTGGATACATGGTTGCCAGAGCAAGTCTCTTTCATGCAATGTAAGGAACTATATGCACTGCTTCTTTCTTTCTTTTATGTCGAATTTATGGTTTAGAATATATTTTCATTAGAACACTGGATGTAAGTCTTTCAAATAGTATCAGTGCTAAAATGTACATGTGGTTGGGTCAAGTTCATATGTATGTAGATTGGTATGCAGCTCTGCCTTTTCTATAAGATCATGTTCATTGATTACTCGTAAAACAACAGCAACTTAGTTGTTTATTTTTCTCATACTAGTTCCCTACTAGATTTACATGACACCTTGGTTATTCACACAGTGGTGACTGAGCATGTTTTCTTAATTTGCATGTTTCACGCAGTCATGGGTAATGAGAAGTCGAATGAGTATTGGGAGGCAGAACTGCCACCAAATTTTGATAGAATCGGCTTTGGACTGGAGAAGTTTATTCGTTCCAAGTAAGCTTTTAATATATTTTTTCAACAAAGATATTACTTGAAACCACAAGATTAAATTTTCATCTACCTTTTGATTTTCTTCTGTTCTCAAATTGGTTAGGATCTTTTAGGTATGTGGAGAAAAGGTGGGCTAAAATTGATGGAGTAAATCCAGCTTCAAAAGCAGGTGAAATAGTGTGTAACCTGGATCTGAATGTGCCTCCAGCTGGTCCCAAGGGTGGCTTTTCAAGGGCCACTAGGAGACTTTCTCTTGAGGAAAGCATTCTTACAAGACACATGGAACAGATCCTGCCTCCACTGACAAGACATCGTGGGGTAACAATTTTTCATAAAGTCTACTCAATCCTTGATAACAAATGACCTCTTTGGTTTTTAACTGCACAAATACATGTTGAGGGGATGTGCTATTTATATAAGGGTTAATTAATCTGCAAGTCCTTATAGTTTTAACGAATTTTGAATTAGGTCCTTATAGTTTTTTTTCTTTTTATCAGGTCCTTATACTTTTACTTTTTTTAATTAGGTCCTTGTATTTATTTTTCTTTTAATTGAGTCCTTATAATTTCATTAAATTTTTAATCAGGTCCATGTGGTTTTAATTTTTATTTATTAATTAAATATAAGCTTAATTAAATAGATTAATACTGAAATATAAAATATTAATAATTAAATTAAATTAATAATTATGTAATAAAAAAGTAATAGAATTAATTAATTCAGGAAAACTTTTTAGAACAATTAATTTTTTTCTGAAAAAATTAAAATCATTATAATAATTCAATATCTTTAGAATATTATTGTTTATAAACTAATATTAAATAATATATACTCCTCCGGTCCTAATTATAAGACCCAATTGACTTATTTGAGGAAATTAAAGAAGTAAGTTAAGTTGGTTATTTATAATAAATAAGTGTTGTCATTCCTAAAATATCCTTGCTAATTAAGTATATTGGCTAAAACTATCATTATTAGAAGGATTATCTTGAAAAAAAATGCATAAATATAAGAGACAAAATGGATTGGGTCTTATAATTAGGACCAAATAAAAAGTCAAATTGGGTCTTATAATAAGGACCGGAGGAGTACTATTTTATGTTTATATAATAGTACTATTAGAATTTATAAAATAAAGAATAAAAAATTCATGGACGTAATTAAAAATAAGGCGAATTTATAAGGACTTGATAAAAAGAAAAATAAATACAAAGACCTAATTAAAAACAGGTGAAAGTATAAGGACCCGATAAAAAGAAAAAAAACTATAAGGACCTGATTCAAAATTAGTTGAAACTATAAGGAGCTATGGATTAATTATCCCTTTATATAATGAACCTGTAGGTAGCTTGTACAATTGTTTAGTAAGTGCCTTTTTGTTGCATGGTGTCCATGGGAAGCCTGTGGACTATTTCGTTATTTCTTGGAATCTTTCTGTATTTCTTTTCTTTTTCACTTTGGAAGGATTTGTTTTTGGATCTATTGGCTTTATTTTGAAGTGTGGAGTGCCATCTAATGAGAAGTTTCTAGCCATTCTAGCTATATGTCAGTACAACACTACAACCTATTAAAGTTTCTCTACCCAGAGATGTCTAATTTGTGATTAGACATAATTTCAAGTATCAGGTCACCGCTTCATTGTTATGATTTCTTTATTTTATTTTTTCCCCTCCCTTTTTGTGTAAGATAATGGTTTTCTTTCTATTATGGGCGCCCAGACAACTTTTGCTTGTCTTCCACCAGTATTTACTGCACTTCGTGGAAAACCCGAATACATTATTAAAGCTTCACTTTTTAATTCAGGGTTCTCTTGACATTCCAAAAAGCACCACCCCTCCGGTAAGGAGGCAGTGCCCATCAGTTGATTTTGATAAGTCCCCTGTAAACAGTGGCAATGCTGACTTTTTCAGCATGTTTGGCGTCCATGGCGATAAGAAGGACTCTGCAACCGTACCTCCTCCTAGCTGGACAACATTTGACTGTAAGACAATGATACCTAACATCATACATCGTCCTTTATCATCTCGCTTATATTTTCCTTCTCAGCTCATTTAAACGAGTTGTCGAAGTTTTTTGATATCGAGTATTGAGGCTGTTTGTTACATGAGCAGATTCTTTCTTGTTTCATCCTTACTGATCCTTGTTTTATTCATAATGAAGAACAAGATAGAATTGCTCTCATGTCATTCACTTCTATTTGACTGCCTCAAGACTACAGTTACTGTCCCAATTTTTGCTTTTCTGAATTACTGAGTCAGATATCTATGGTTGCAGGAGTTGTGTCAACACTGCAAGCTTACAGACTGTTCAGCTTAGCCCTTGGTGTAGATGTCGCCATATTATAGTTGCAGAGGGCATTGGGTGAATAACAGTGTATGTTTGGACAGTGCTTACTTCTGTTCACCCTTGAATCTTTAGACGACCCTTAAATCTGACCGTTTTTAAAAGAGAAGGCCTAAGAATCCTCCCAATCTTGGACGGCGAAATGACATTATTTTGAGCAAATTCTGACTTTTCATCTGATCTGGATACCCTAAATGCGGCCCAAATGCACTGATATTCAAACTGTCGAAATGAACTGAGTAGTCTGATATAATTTCTCCTTGGATTAATCTTTAGTTCATAAGATTATTTGCAGCTTATCTGCATTTCTTATATCTTAATAAAAAAAAAGGAATTTGACAATATTGGATGTTCTTACAGGTTTGATGACTGGATTTGGATGAACATGCCCAAGGGCAAGTGAGACGTCAGAATATAAAATAGGAAACATCAAACACACATTTCTATATTATTTTGGGGCTTATTTTTGAGAGATACAGTTATGGTCCATGAAATGGTTTGATTTGCATTGTAGCTCCAAGTGTTTGTTGTTTGTCTAGATAAGAATAGTACTTTATAATAACTTGATGTTCTCTTGCAATATTTCAGGCGTTTCAAGCACATCCAATTCCAATTTTTGACCCTTTTCTTTGGGGGGGGGGGAATTAGTGAAAGGCCATGATCACTAGGGGTGTGCATAGACCAGACTGGACCGGGTTTGTTATCAACCCGAAGTCTGGTCCAATAATGACCTCAGGCTGAAAAAGACAGCCTAAGGTCTGGTCCAATCTAGTACCAACCCAAGGTCGGGTTGGACTGGACTTGGTCCTCTGGACTTCCTGGACCAGTCCAAGCAGTCTAAGACCTAAATTTAATTTTTTTAAAAAAATTTTTCTTTCAATAGGAGACAAGATTGTAACTTACTATATAAAATTTTGTACATATTTTAATTCAAAGTTTATCAAATTTAATCATTCTCTTTCAATTTCCCAATAATGTTAGGTTTTATTAATTAATCCTCATTAATATAGATCTTATATTGTAGAAAATATATACGCATGCTCATTACTTAGGAAGTTAATAAATAAATATTGATTATTTGAATAGACAAAAAACTTATATAAAAAAATTAAACCAAATTAAAATTATATAAATAATAATTTAAAAACAATCAGGTTAGACTGGATTAGATTAACTAGTCTGAGGGGCCAGTCCTTAGTCCAGTCCAGCCCGATGAGACTAGTCCGGTCCAGTCTGGTCCAGTCTTGTTTTGAGCTAATTTTTTCTGGACCAGACTAGACCGGGTTTGCTTGGATTGGACCGGACCATACCGGACCACCGGGTTTTTGCACAGCCCTAATGATCACAAAGCCTCAAAAAGGAATTGGGAAACGTGAGGTCCGAGAATCAGTAAATGCCAAAAGCTGATCAACCAAGATTATGGGTAAACTAAATCTTACAAGATAAATCACATATTCATGAGTTTTGCAGTAGCCATGGTTCAAAACGACCATTTTTGTTAAGCAGTCCTTTTAATAAGATGAAGTAAACACGATAGAATTAGCAGAAAACTAAATGACAGACGGAAGGGAAAGAAAGATGGAAGAGTAAAATTCAACGACTAAAATTTTTAGTTGGTTGGGCTTTTTGAAGCAGTGATTACTATTGTTAGATCAAATTGACTATTGGATGATTAGATCATTGATTATACACTACCTCCGGTTTTTAATATAAAATCCTGTTTGATTTTTATTTTGGTCCTAAATATAATACCCCAATTCATTTTTGTCTCTCATATTTATATTTTTTTTCCAAAGTAACCCTTCTAATAATGATAGTTCTAGTTAATAAACTTGATTAGTAAAGATATTTTAGGAAAGACAACACCTATTTAGGACAAATAACTAACTCAACTTACTTTTTTAATCTCCTCAAATTAGTCAACTAACTCTTATAATTAGAACTGGAAGTAGTATTTTATAAAGAAACTAGTGGGAGTACCATTTGCTTGAGATGTTTTCACCTCTCTTTTCAAGGGTAATTTGAATGCTGTTTCAGCTTTTATATTTCTTGAACTATTGTTGCTTCAACCAAATGAAGAAACCAAGTAACCAACTTGAGTGAAATAATTCTCAATTTCTGATACCTAATTTCAGTGTTGATTAGGTCATAATATGTTTGTATATGAGTTAATACCATTTGTAGTTCTAAAATTTGACTGCGTTCCATCTTTGAAATTTAAAACTAATGGTTTTAATTTTTAAAATTTGATTTCATTTTCGTTCATTAAAAGATTTTTTGTTTTCGAGAGTGTTTTCAATCTTTTAAACTTTTGGTTTCAAATTTTAAAGACTAAAATCAAAATAATATTAATGTTTGAGGATTAAAAATTGTATTGACTCTATATACAGAGAGAGAGACAGAGCCATCAAAAGTAGAGGAAGGTAGGGGGCCTTTGAGAACACCGAAAAGTTCTGTAAAATAAAACAAACTCATCCATATATTTACTTTATATACCGTAACAGTATTTTTAAAACCATGATTTAATTTCTATTTAAATACCTCCGAGGAAAGAGGACCATTCTCCATAATTATTGCTCATTTCCGTCTCTGTCTTTGGTGGGTTTTGATGGGTTAATTCCATTAGTGGTTAACTGGAAAAGGACCATTCTCCATAATTATTGCTCATTCCCGTCTCTGTCTTTGGTCCTTCTCCTTAGCTATCTGCTGCTCACATCCACTCTTCTTCTTCAATTGGCTCAGTTTGACGATGACTGTTCCAACCTTCTCGTTGTCTTTGCATTCAAATTTAAATTTCTATCCGATCCTCCCAGGGGAAAAAAATGAGGACCAAAGAAATCCAAAGCTACATTAAATATGCTACAGACAAGCTACAAGTTCATCGTTCGCAGCAACAATAGAAAATCACATGATTCGGATCGCCCTATTTTGATTGCACTTCTTTACTTCCACGAGCTTCCTCTTTCCCTTGACCCGTTTGTCAGTCTAAGATCGCAATTTAATTATATGCGCTTGGACCCCCGTAATCTTAAGTAACGTGGGCCCTACTTCTTGTGGCACACCCACCCACAAAAAGTATAACATTCACATGAATATTTATATATATATATATATATATATATATAATATGATTTGTGAAGGTATATGCAAACCTGAAGCTTTTTCTTATAGGGCATTTCATTTAAACGTCACATTTATATATTGGGAAATTAGGAAATTATGTAATGCACGAGACATCCTTTTTAGTTTAGATTATTTAAATCATATTTAGAGAGTTAATTTCTCTTGTAATGTTAATATATTTATAACTCTAAAATGAACGAACATGAAATTAAAATTTTTTAAAGATAATTAATTAAAAATTTCAATAATATAAATTTAAACAGTTTAAACAGCACGTTCATTGTTCGGAAGATCCGTGAATGAATGTGGTTTGTGGGACATCAAAAGGTCTGGTTTGATGGTTTCATCATCACGAATCTGACGGAGAAAGGGTCCCACATATTTTTACAAGGTTCACTCGTCGTATCCCAAGTCATTCAATTCAGAAACCAAGGATGATGTTGATGATTGCGATGAAGAACAAGACAAGTTGGTAGCATTTGTTACTATTTGGTCGGGAATACCTTTTTCTTTTTTTTTTTGGTGAGGTCGAAGATAAAACAAAACAAAATTAAATATATAGTCTAATTTATATTTCAACATAAATATTAACACAGTGATTAAATTTATTTTATATCTTAAAATTTTATTTGTATTTTTTAATTTTACCCTTAACTAAATGTTAGCCCCCATCTACAAATAACCAAATGACCTATTGGTTAAAAACAATAGATATATAAAAATACAGCTCATAAATAAAAACAGACCATCTTAACCTCTTTTTTTTTATATGTATAGAATGCTATGGTATTTTTTTAGCTTTAAGTAAACACACCTCTGTTAAGGAAGAGTATGGGTAATTTAAATCATTCATAAGAGATATAAAAAAAATTTTAATCATTTCTAAAAGCTTATAATGTGATTTATAATTAAGCACACAAGCACTCCCAAAAATTGATTCTCACCACGGGAATGGAGGGAGTAAATCAATGTTGATTTATATAAATGTAAATATTATTGTTTTGTTTTAAAGGTTCGGCCGCAGCAACACAAATGTAAGTTAATTACTATAATTGAATGATGAATAATTTATTATTAAAAAAATTACTTAGACATAATGGCACTAGAAAGTGGAAACTTGCTTTCCGACGCTCCTACTAGGTGGGGTGATAATTGCTATCTATGCTTGAAGAAACAGCAATACCTATAAATCTATGAACAATAATCTACACACGCCATTATGAATTATGAGTGCTGATTCATTTTAGCTTCTGCCTTTTTTCTTTTTTTAACCTAAAACTAATAATAATATTATTATCGGTTTTTAATATAAGAGTTAGTTTTATTTTTAATTTAATCTTAAATATAAGATTTCAATATAATTTATCTCTTATATTTATTCATATTTTTTTTAAATAACTCTTATAGTAGTTATACATGTTAAAAGTTCCGTCAAATAGTAGTTCTACCTAATGTACATGATTAGTAAGAGTACTCTAGAGAGAACGACACATATTTATTACAAATAACTAACTTAACTAATTTTTTTAATCTACTTTAATCAGTTAATTAGCTTTTATGTTAAGGATAAGTAGTTTCGTCAGGAAAAAAAAATTGAATTAATAAATTTAGAGGGGCTTAGTTTGATGATGGTGATTGGAGGAGCAAGATGGTGAGGCCAACAAAGAAGCACGTATGAGCAAGAGAGAGTGAAGTTTCAACATAATGTAAAACTAAACATAGAAGGAGAAGAGAGAAGGAAGCATTAAAAGGGACAAGTCAAGTGCACGTTACTTTCAAGCAAATGTGTGGGGCTTTCACTTTAACCCCTTTGGTCTCCTTCCTCTGCTTCTCCTGTTCTCTCTAAAAAAGACAACTCTGTGTTACTTCCTCACATCATTCTTCACCCTCCACGCTACTTTCTCCCTCTACTTGTTAACCTCATACCACACCTATTCTTATTATAAGTTACCCCTAACTATTTTACCCAAGTTAAGAAGAGATGGTTAAATTGTTAATTTTGTTTAAAATAAAAAAATCAAATTTACCCTTATTTAAAACTATGAATTGTAATCTTACAAAGCAAAAAATGAAAATTATATCAAATTTTACGTAAGGGTGATTTTGAATATGAATATATATAGCGCCTTATTTAGTGACGTATAGTAAGGATCACCATTTATTTTCATAAAGTATCTTATAATAAGAACCGGATTTGCATATCATAATTTCATATTAAGAAAATAAAGAGGCAGTCTTGTGCACAAGACGATGCATGTCATAGATGTTTAAGAGCAATATATAACATGTTTTCTATGTTTCCAAAATATGCTTAATTTTAGAAGATGGAA